AAAAAACGCCGGCGCCGTCTCTTTTTGCCCCTACGAGCGTCGCCTCCGCGTCTTCGGGGCTCCGGGAGGATTCTTGAGGTTTTTATGGACACACAGGCTTTTCCTCTTCAGGGCTCCCAGCTTTACAGAGCTGCTTTAATTCCTGCTGGAACGCTGCAGCAAATGCAGCCTCCACGCCTCCCTCGGGGGGAAAAGAAGGATTTTTACGATTTCTTTCTACGGCGCTGCTTAATTTGCTCTTTTCCTAGAGCAAAGTGCTGAAAGAACGGGGCAATAATGGAGCAGGAGAGMGGAGTGACTGACTCATGGATGCTCTCCTGAACATTTTGGAGTAAGCTCAGGGGCTGGGGATGCAGCCCAGGACCAGAGCTGATGAATGGTGCAGTGCTGCTGTTGTCATGGCAACTAAGAGGGAAAGGGAAAAAAAAAAGGCAGCACCATATAAGGAGCTGTGACATGGATTCTGGGAACAATTTCTACTAAAAGGCTGTGAGATTTAAAGCTGCAGCATCCCCTCRGTCAGAGAGGTTTCATTGTTCACATTGAAGCAATCGGCACAAATTTTTGAAGGCAGCATCACATCCAGCCCAAAGATATTTGCATGGGGAGAGTTGCACCAAAACACAACAAAACAACACGATTCTGCAGCGTGTTCAAATAACTGCAATTGAAATGACTGAAATTATTAATAAAGAGAAATGGCTRGATGCTAATAAGGAGCCAAACTGGTATCTGTGAAAACAGGAGTGTCACCGAGTCCCCCAGGGACACACAGCCCGGCACAGGTGAGGAGCTCTGTCCTGAAGGAGGAGGTTGTGATGATCCAAACTGCAGCACCATCAGGTGGCTGAGAGCCTGAGTGGCACTGCCACCAACACTGATCCTGCCAGGCTTCCCAGAGATGGGAAAACATCCCCAAAAACATCCCCAAATGAACCCATAAACAGGGGTTGTGGGCAGGCAGGGCTGGCAGAGCCCCCAGAGCATCTTCAGCTAAGGCAGAGCAGGGAAAACAACTCACAGAGCTGCCATGGTGAGCTGAGCAAGGCCAAGGCTTGGATTTCATAAGAAAACAAATTATTTACCACAGGCAGCATCAGCTGATTTCACTGAAAGCTCAGACAGACAAAAAATGCACAAGGATGGAGAGAACATCCACTGTGCACCCAGAACAACCAAAACTCTGCAGTGCTGGAGCCACTGAAACYTGAATGCTCAGAAACCTCCCCATCTATGATTTATTTTATTTTTTAATGTACAATCCCACAAAGGCCTGGGCTGGAAGGGAATTTAAAGCTCATCCTGTCCCACCCYRTGCCATGGCAGGGACACCTTTCACCATCCCAGGGTGATCCAAACCCTGTCCAACCTGGCSTTGGACATTTCCAGTGATCCAGGAGCAGCCACAGCTTCTCCCCACCCTCCCTCCCAACCACAGAACCATTGCTAAGGCTGGAAAAGACCTTGCAGATGATCAAATCCAACCAGCAGCCCTGCAGCACCATTCCACACTGAACTGGAACACTTCCACACATTTTTGGAACRTTTCCAGCAGTAGTGACTTCAGCACCTCCCACATGTGCCAGCACTGCCGGCTTCCCTCCAGCACTGCCATCATCATCATCATCTCTCCTGCTCCCACCCAGATGAGCTGAAATGCAACAATTTGGAGAGAAAAAGCATTCCTGGGGGTGCAGTCATTAATCTGGGTTCATCAGTGCAGAACGAGAAACAATTAAAAGTTTTCAAGCGGAGAGATTTCAGTTTTTTAACCCCCACGATTAAAATTAGCGTTGAAGAATATTGAAATATCCGCTGAAGATTAGAGAAGGGGGATGTGACAATCCTTGTGGCCACTCCCRAGAGAGAAAATAAAAACTCAGAGTGACAAATCCACGGGGGATGGATGGTGGCACAGAGGATTTTGTGGGTGAGATCCCCACCCAAGGGGATCTGGAGGGTGTTGAGAATGCAGTGCTGGGTCCTTACTGGTGTTACTGGGAAGAAGAAATCTCCACGCTGCTCAGCTCTACTCTCACCATCTCTGAAGGATCCAGTGAAAAAAAACCAGGTTTTTTTTTCAGGAAAAAGCTGCTGTGAGCTGCCTGAGCACGCCTAGGAATAGCCCCACTCATTTTTTATGGATTTTATTCTTAGGGGAAGTTCCCACATTCCCCAAGAACAAAGAAGGAACGTTTTCAAAGGGTTGTTCTGCAGTGAAACCACTTCCCCAGGCCCATGGTGTTGGTGACACTGAACCATCATTCACACCGGACACAAGAAGAATCGGAACCAAACCCAAACCCAAATCTAGGCTAGATTTTTGTTAAAAAAATCACCATTTCTTTCCTAAATTTCCTGCTAATATTCTCCCCTCCTCACTCTCTGCACAGGCACTCGCACACGTGCTCTTTCTGAGAGAACACTAATGCTTGCAATCTGCCATTCAGCAGGAAAAAAAMCASCAAAAGCCAAGTGCMGYGATGAATAAAATTATCCCCGTGCACAAAAATGTACAATATGCAAATRAGGAGGAGGAGGAGCTGCATGAGGCACAGGGCTTTGTGCAAACCCTCTGCACGTGGTGAGTTCCACAGCAATCGAATCAAACATTAGAAYATTCTTTTATTAACCCAATGCAAGTATTTTTGGCATCCATTCCCCAAAGCATTCATGAATTCATCCCTAAGAACCCTCCTGGAAAGCTCTGCTGTCCTCAAGGCAGGTACATGGAGCACCTGCAGGATTTTCATCACATTTATGGCTTGGAGTCAGARTATCTGAATTTATCAGAATATCTGAGTGGATCAGAATATCTGAGTGGATCAGAATATTTAAATGTATCAGAATATTTAAGTGTGTCAGAATATTTGAGTGTATCAGAATATCTGAGTGGATCAGAATATTTAAATGCATCAGAATATTTGAGTGTGTCAGAATATGAGTGGATCAGAATATTTAAATGTATTAGAATATTTGAGTGGATCAGAATATCTGAGCCCAYTGTTCACACWGCAGTTGCTCTTTGTRCACCAAGCACAGTAACTTTTAATCACTGATTTTATTGCAGAGCCAAACCAAAATGGTGTCTTTGCTAACTTATCCTGGGATGGGAATTTGGGGGAATTTTTCTTTCTTTTCATTATGTATTTTTCGCATTATTTTTGAAAAATAGAAAAAAAAATTAACACAAACTGAGGATGAATGTGCTGATTTCATTTTGTTTTCAGCCACTGCTAAACAAGAGGTGACACGGCAGGAGGGGGAGAGCTGATTATTTATTCTGACTGTTACCTCACCCCTTAGAACCACAATAATCTTCATTTTCCTTAATCACCAGACTATTCAGCAAAGTAGGAATTGCACCTACGTGGAATATTTACCACCCTGTGAACCCAGCCAAGAATTCACCCCCAGCAAACCCAAAAACCAACACGGGAGTGTGTGAGCCATGGTCCAATTTGGGTGCAGCCCTGGGTGGGCTGGGACTGCCCTGGATGCTTTTTTTGAATTTTGAACTCTGAATTTTGTCCAGCCTCTCTCTGTTCTAGGTACCCAGATTCATGCAGCATCTTCACAAAACTAGCATTAACTCCAATTTTTCTTTATGTTACAGAACACGCTGGTTTGTATTAAATTACTAATGACAAATTAAGAATTAAAATTAAGAATCAAGAATTAAAATTAAGAATTAAGAATTGAATGAAGAATGAAGACTGAAGAATGAAGACAGAAGAATGAAGAATTAAGAAGAGGAGAGTCTTTATCAACTGCCAATCAATAACCCCTAGCAAAAAACCACCCAACTTTTCATTTGCTGATATATTAAATATTCCACAGGTACCTCATCTCACCTGGAGCTCTGCCAGGGGAGTTGGGATGGATTTTAGGGAAAATTTCTTTCCCCAGAGGGTGCTGGGCACTGTCCAGGCCCCCCAGGGAATGGGATTGTTGTGTTTTTGCAGGGACAGGGGTTGGAATGTTTAATTCAAGCTCAGGATATTCCATGATTTAATGACTCCTCCTGCTGCTGAGGGCTATTTTTATTTTCTAAATCTCCCCAATTAGCAATAAATAAAAGACAGACAATAAGGAATAGATCAGAAACTGTGATAAATGCTCAAATTTAAGAGGAGAAGCTGCTTTTCCAGCTCCTTTCCATGTCACCTTAATGAAAGCAAACAAATTCCTATCATGACCACAGGAAAATGTAAATAAACACCTTCATTTTACAACACCAATAGTAAATTAAACTAAAAATATAAAAAATCTTCTCCACCAATGCATGGAAACATATCCTGAATTCTAACAAAAGGCACCAAGTGCATCAGAGCTCCATTCTGCACACGCAGATCAGATCATATCTGGTAAAAACTCATTTTAGAGGTTTCCCTCAGCACAAGCACGGTACCCTGGCTGGTTGTTCTTAAAGCTGAGCACAGAGTTGGGGTCAGATTTTAGGCAAGAAGCAAGTTTCTCAAAAACTGTTACCAGTAGAAATACTTTTCAGGCTTTTATATGGATGCTGGACACCAAGTGTTATTGAAAATCCCAGTACTGCACCATCTCTAGGTATTCAAAACACAATCCCAGCAGGTTAAATAAACAAAACAGCACCTAAAAATATGCATGAACCAAAAATAAAAATCACTTTGCTACAAAAGTTCATAATTTCTCTCAGTTCCCTAAGAATTCAACATTTAAGCAACAAATTCTTTAACATTACTGTAATGCTGCTGCTGCACATAAACCACAACACAAAGTGGAACTAAAACACATTCTGACAGAAATTCCTTCAAAACCAGAGAATATTTGCAAACCAGAGAGATCTTTTTCAGCACAAAAAGATTTCACTGTCAACACAAAAATCCAATTCATCTCTGCGTTTGACTGAAGCAACAAACAACGGCACGACTCGGATACAAAAAACCGTTTTTTTTTCTTTTTTTTGCACCAACGGACCTCAAAAAGCCCCAGTGAACTTTATTAAAAGTCCTTACCAGTTAACTTCTTCACAGGTTGGAGCCGAACACTGATAGACTGATGTGTGAGTAAGGGGGAGGATGGAAGGGAGCGGGACATGCCCTCCATAATCCGAATGTGCTGCATACCTTCGGTCACTGCGAGCGGCGGAATTGCGTAGTCGGGTTCAAAAGCACAGTCGTTCTCTGTGGAGGTGCCTGATGGGGAAAGGGAAAAAGAAAAAAAAAAA